GTTTCACATACTAACATGTGTATACCTATGTTTGGCCCACGCTATACAAAATTTGGAATTGTGGTTACCTTTCAGGGAAGACAAAGGTATCAGTACTGCTTTCGTTTTTTCAGTTGGGTGGTGGGTTTATGAATGTCTTATAATTCCACGAATAATGTAATTAGAGCAGGTCCAGGGGCTATGATGCTGGTTAGCACTTCCAGAAGAAACACAAGTTCCACAATCCCAGTTCTACCTCAGTGGTCATCTCCAGATTGGGGTTCGGGGCACAATTTTCTCCCATGAGCTGTGTACTGTCCCCCTAAACCACTGAGATAATTGTGACTCCCTCTCTGCATTAGATCACGGAACACAAAGAAAAATTATTCTAAAACTCCCCTCCATCCATTGTTTTGCATGTGGCACCACCCAGAATCACCAGGGGCTCTGAGCATTTTCAGATACAACAGAAAAAGCCAGCAGGACACTTTAACCAATGCCATTGATTTAAAATACGAAAAGCAATGCTAGAATGATCAAATTTCACATGTTTAGATTTCTGGCCCAGAGGAGCCGAAAGCAGAGACAAGAAGCAGAGACAGGGGAGGGGGTTCAGTGAGAACTCCTCTGCTCTGTCCTCCTGGTATTTCTTTCCCCGTTGCTTTAATCTCGATCCCTTTAGTATTTCCTCCTCTCCCTCCCAGCACAGACTCAGCATAATCTAATACTGAGGTTCAGACTTGGCTTCAAAGACCATGATTTCAGAAGACAAAAGCTGACAGATGCTTGATCTGTAAAAATACAACACAGCACAGAAAAAGGACCAGTCCGCAAGCTGTGTCGTCAGACCACAGCCAATTTTATGCCGAAGGTGGCAGGCTTTCTAAACCTGTGACAAACATCTTCTCAAGGGGAAAGACCAAGACAGCTGCCTGGGAGCAGATCTTAGGCTGACAGACGGGTTTTCCTGATGACTGTTTGGACAGGACCTTAAATATTAGTATTTTGTATTATAAGTCAGGACCATTAATTCCTGACTTGCTTCATGTTCCATGGAAATTGAAGTTTCACCTGAGGTCCTAAGCAACTTAAATAGAATTAAGCACTTTAGATGGTGATTACACGGAACTTCCTTCTAATTTTATAACATGCTATGGTTTAGACTTGTCGTCCTGACTACTGCCATCATTCCTTAAAACCAATGGTTTCACCCTAAATGTGCGGTTCTGAAGGTAGCACAGGCTTAATCTGAGCCTTCTCCAGGAGTTTGGGGTACTCAGAAAGTGACCTGGGAGGGACTATGGAGGGCAGGCTAGATAAATCCATGAACCTCTCCACATTAATTTTACTCCCCCGCCCCCAACCAAACTTTAATACATTCATAATGCTATGTTACCATCACCACCATCTATCTCTATAACTTTCCATCTTGTAAGTTTCTAACTCTATACCCATTAAAACACTAACTCCCTATTTCTCTCTCCTCCCAGTCCCTGGAGCAACCACCATTCTACTTTCTATAATTTTGGCTACTCACTCTTTGCCTTGTTGTGACTGGCTTCACTCACTATAATATCCTCAACGTACATCCATGCTGTAGCATGTTACAATTTCCTTCCTAAAAGGTTGAATAATATTCTATGTGTGTATATACCACATTTTACTTATTCATTCATCTGTTGATGGACGCGTGGGTCGCATGTACACTTTAGCTATTGTGAATAATGCTGCTATGAACATGGAATTACAAGTATCTCCTTAAGACCCTGCTTTCAATTCTTTTGGGTATGTACCCAGAAGTGGAATTGCTGGATCGTGTGGCCATTCTGTTTTAAGGAACTTAAATGCTGTGGGTCCACACCATTTTCCACAGTGGCTGCACCATTTTACCTTCCCACCAATAGTGTGTAAGGACTCCCATTTTCCACATCCCTGGCAACACCTGTTATTTTCTGTGTGTTTTTTGATAGTAACCACTTTAATGGGTGTGAAATGGTATCTCACTGGTGTTTTGATTTGCATTTCCCTAGTGAACAGAGATGTTGAGCATCTTTTCATGTGCATACTTACTGGCCCTTTGTGTATCTTCTTTGGAGAAATGTCTATTCAAGTTCTTTGCCCATTTCTGAATCGGGCTGTTTTCCACCTTATTTATCAAGCACCTGCGTAATGCATACTCTGTGCCAGGCACATCAGTGTTAATATTCTTCCAGGTACACTAGCCCTAGGTCACAAAGCTACAGGATACGAACCCAGGAAACTGGTTTCCCAAGCCCGCGTGTGCAATCTCTGGGCTTTGCTGTCCTATGAAGAACCCCACTCCCGTCAGTTGTCTCCGATTCCTCTGGAAAGCCCTGGACATTCAAGTCCTCTCTGCCACCTGAGTGGTTACTTGGGGCCAAAAAGAACCCTAATAGTTGAAAGCAAGGTGGCCCAGATCCAGGGCCCCTACCTGGAGGCAGCCCATAATGCTATTAATGGAAGAAATCTGGGGTTCCCGTCTCTCAAGGGGGCCAGAAACAGTGCTTCTAGGGTGGTAGCTGTTTCTTGCATTCAATGTATTCTCTGGAAGAAACCCCACTGGGAAAGCACCAGAAGACACAGGCATAAAACTTTAAGACGTGTGAGCAGTTATTTTGAGGATCATGTGTCTTGAGGACTCTCCGCCCAGGCAGATTTAAAAATAAGTAGGATTCCAACGTGTATGGATGGGCCAATCTCTGAGGTTATTGAGTAAAAAGTCAACACTGTAAAGTCAATTACACTATTGACAGATACTCTTACAAGGAGATTTCACATCATAATTATATGCAAGGGAACCCAGCAAATACAAGCTGTGTAATGATCAGCTAATAAAAGTAACACTTCATCTAAGTCAATAATGGTTTCAGAGTTAAGACAAACAAACATGGCCTTTGCCACTCAGTGGAGGAAAAAAAAAATCCCTGAAAGACAAATATTTTCACTTAAGGAGAAGTCGCTGAGACTCACACAGAAGACCTGTCACACGAAGCAGAGGAGAAAATTGGTCTTTAGTGGGTGCTAATGACTCCCCGGCCCTCCCTCCAGCCGCAGCTGGACTGACAGGGACAGCGGCCCACAATCCCCGCAAACATGTGCGCCCCCCGGGCACCCCTGGTCGCCACCACGTGGTGTGGTAGAGGGCGTCTGCTGCTGTTTTACTCCCTCTTAGCTGTTTCCCTTTTAACCTCAGCCGCGTCTGGTTCTATGGAGACATGGCCAAACTAAAAAGAAATTGAAATTATAACGAAGGTGAAAGAACAAAACAAGATCTTCTCCCTCACACTTTTTCTTTTCTTCTTCTTCTTCTTTTTTTAAAGAATAGTTTACTGAGTTTTTGTAGAGAGAGAGGGGAGAGGGAGAGACACACATTGATGTGAGAATGCATGGCTGCCTTCTGCCCCCTCCTACTGGGGATCAAGCCCACAACACGGGCATCTTCCCTGACAGGAACTGAACCAGCAATCTGCTGGTGGCACCAGGAGAGGACGATGCTGCAACCAGCTGAGCCACATGGGCCAGGACTCTCCCAAACACTTCTTATTGAGTTTTACCCGGACACTGATTCTGCAAATATCGATGTATATTTATGTGTGTGTTTTTCCCCCCAAAAGCATCTCAGTGTCTATTTGCCAGGCATTGGGGACATAAAGAGGGCACAGGTATAATTAGCGAGGGTCCTTGACCTTACAGAGCTTGCAGCACATCTCTGCCCTATTTCTCTTAAAACTGGGGTGGGAGGTGCGGCATTGGATGGTGCGCTGGAAATGCATGATGGTTTTCTTTAACTGCTTATCTCCATGGCAATGGTAACTTGTCCAGTTTCTGCAAATTGTGGTTGGATACCGAAACAATTCTCCAAACTCCTATGAGTTCAGGAAGGGCACTCTTCGACAATGGTGCTTTGGTTGTGGGCAGGCTTTGAGCAAGCTGTGCCATTAGGAGGCTATTGTCACTCAGCCCAAAGCCACCCTTCCAGTGTTTCCTGCAAAAGGGCTAGGGCTGGGCTGTGCCAGCCACATTTCTGCTGTACCACCTGGTCCATATGAGGCTTGGACAAGAGGGGGCGCCACAGAGAGACTGGGGAGGGGTGGAGGAAGAAGGGACATGCCCTCCCTGTGCGTTTCCTGTTCCTCCATCACCCTAACGCCTCTTCATCTCTGCAGCGGCAATTCATTCCTGTAGCGGATGCCGTGTTCAGAAAAGGTCTGTGAGGGGATCATGTTCGGACGGGCCCTGAAGGACGTGCTGCCGTGTGTGTGGAGGCTGAGGGAAACCTACGGGGAGGACACGGCTTGAATAAGACGGGCAAATCCTGGACATATCTGGGGAACAAATATGGCTCCAGGAGACGGGGGGACGGGGATGGGTGCTGGGTGATGTGGTGGGAGACCTGGAAGGTTCTGCAGATGGCTGGTGGTGGCTGGGTGGGCGGAAGTGGGCAGGGAGGCAGCAGAGCCAGTCGGAGCAGACATCCACGCTGGCGCAGGACCCTAGTTCTTCTGATTTGGCAAGTGACCTGATTCTTAGAAGCAGGGAAACGATGCCCTGTTACTTATAGACCAGGTACCTCGGCACTTCTCACGCACGCTTTGGCATTTGATTTGAGGAGCTTCATGGAGGAGGGAACTGGGGCCCAGAGAGGTCAGACATCCACCCAAAGGCAGGGCACTGGTAAGTGACAGGCCTGCGTCTATAGCCAGGATCTTGAACAAATTGCTCACCATCCCCTCTACCCACCTTACCCTGTTTTCTAACCCACTTAATTTGATCTGTTTCCATCTCACCTGCACGGAGACCAGGATCATCTGACAGGCTGAGAAGGAGAAGCTGGTGTTTGGACTGGGGTCGCTGGGAGTGACTTTTTAAACACCCAAACCAGGTTTATTGTCTTCACTCCTTAGAGGCCGTTTCCCTCCATCCCACCAAGTGGGCCCCGCAAGACCCACGATGCCTTTCCCACTCCCCAGCAGGCTCTGCCCAGCCAGCGCCCCCCTTACCTCATGGCGGCCGTCATTCCGATGGGAGTTATTGGCAATGGCCGGACTCCGGGGAACAGGCCTCGGCTCAGAACCCGCGCTCCGTTCTGGATCACTCCTGGCGGAACTGCAAGGGCGACAAGAAGACACTGCAGGTGAGTTCAACTGTGAAGATGTCATTCTGAGTCAGAAGTTTTGGATGGAGAGAGAGAGGGAGAGAGAAAAAAAAAGCTGTTAGTTAAAAAGAATAGAGAGCAAGCAGAGGCCAAGAAAAAAAGCACAGAGACAGACTCACGAAGATGCCAAGAGAGTGCGCAGCAGAAAGACAGAAAGACAGCACGCCTCAAGAAAAGACACTCGGTCAGCCAGGCGAGACCAACAGCTTACGACCAAATGACTGACGCCTTGTTAAGAAAGCCGAGTTGGGGAGGGTGGGCTTCAGACATTATTTGCTTGCATTTACTAAATCTAAGCTCTCACCTCTAGCCAGGCCCTCGCAAGGTCTCAGGAACGCTGGCCACGGAACGCAGGTGCCCAACAAGGGCATCTCCACCCATCCTGTCAGAGGCTGAGCACACCTTCCTATCCTCAGCCCAACAAGGGAATAGACAGAAATAACAGCAAAGCAGATTCTACAAGGTCCTTGGCACTCACGCCCGCTGCCCGGCGCTGTCATTGGAACGCAGGGTGGAGGGCCAGGCTCTGGCTTCTGCCTCAGTCACCCGGAGCCCATTCCGAGGGCCCCACCTGGTCCTTCGTGAGGCTTTCCCCAACCAAACCTCCTGGGTCCTCTTAACAGTCCACCTTCTCTGACCAACCCAGCCAACCCTAAGCCAACCTTCTCGCCCACAGCCATCGGATCCTGTCCATTTCCCATACACATTCACAGTGGCTTCCCACCACCTGATTTTGTCTGAGGGCTTACCTAACAGAGTAACCACAGGAAATCCCCGACGCCTGACATTTTTGTGACCCCCAACAGCAGATTCACCTGGTTCAAGCTAATGTTCTCACTGCACCTGCCAGCACCCTTCCATACATCTACGGTGCCAGGTGTGCTTCACGAGGTGAGGACACGGGCACGCCTGGGATTTAATGTCAGCTCTTCCTGTGCACGTGGCCTTGTGCACGTCCCAGTCTCCCTTTCCCTCTCTGAACAGTGCTCACTAGGACCCCTTCTGCTGTCAGCGTCCGTAGAGTCCCTGGAGCCCCTGGTGCAGTCTCACGCTGAGGCAAGGTGAGTGAATTGTGTTTTCTCAAAGAGCACACATCCCCAAAAAACCCTGAAAAATTATACATTCCAAAATGGAAACCACTCTGGGTATTAAGTTGTTAAAGCAGATGTCATTTGTGTGGAACAAACCCTTTTTACAAAACACGTACATACTTTTCACTTATTTAAGTTTTAGGTCTCTAAGAACATGCTTACATGAATATTCTAAACCTTTAACCATGTAGGATGAATTCCACTCTTGAATATGGGGTAACATTATAGACTGATTCCTTGGGCATTCTGGAGCTTGTGCTAGTATTTCTGTCATTTGTCTTACAGGTGTGCATAAGGCTCATTTTCTAAAATTTGTTTTTTTTAATTTTTAGAGGGAGAGGAAGAGAGAGAGAGAAAAACATTGATGTGAGAGTAAAACATCCATCTGCTGCCTCCTGCATTCTCCCCATCGGGGATTGAGTCTGCAACCTGGGCATGTGCCCTGACCAGGAATCAAACTGGCGACCTTTTGGTCCACGGGATGACGCCCAACCAGCTGAGCCACACCTGCCTGGGTGCATAAGGCTCTGGCTACTAGGTTTTTCAAAAGGTGGGGCAGAAGATACAATTAAAAGCAGTGCTGTTCCTTACCATATTTAATTGTGACATTAGGCTTAACCAGATCAAAAACTCCTACCTGCCCCTTTCTATTAGCCAGATTTCAGATAACAGATCAACTAAAACAGGAGATGCACCAAGTATTTTCAAAGCATGAAACCGGTTATAATGTGATGCTATAGCTAATTACTATAAATAGCTTAGCTGATAAGTTCTCTATAAGAAAGAGGGCTAAAATTTATATTACTTGATTTATATGATCTGATTTCAAGACTTCCTATAAAGCTACAAGGCAGTGTGGTATTGGCCTATGATGTATAGACATTGAGAACAATGCAACAAACTAGAATCCAGAACTAGACCCACATACATGTAGTGAACTGGTGTTTTTTGTTTTTTAAATATGATTTTATTGATTTCAGAGAGGAAGGGAGATGAAGAGATAGATGGAAACATCAATGATGAGAGATAATCATCGACTGGCTGCCGCCTGCACACCCCACACTGGAGATCAAGCCCACAACCTGGGCATATGCCCTGACTGGGAATCGAACCATGACCTCCTGGTTCATAGGTTGACACTTAACCTCTGAGCCAGGCTGGTCAACTAGTTTTGGACAAAAGCATCAAGACAACACCATGGGGGAAAGGAGAATTAGAACAATTGAAGAGCCTTTTGGGGAAAAAGTTAACCTTGATCTTAACCTCTTACCCATACATGAAAGTTAATTAGAAACGGATCATAAACCTAAATGTAAGAACTACATCCTACAACTTTGAGAAGAAAATATAGGGGGAAATACTGAGAGTTCTCAAGGAAAGGCATGCAAAACCAGCACAACTCTGGGATTTGCAGACAGAGGGAGAGGATTTCGTAATTATTTTGCTGTATGGTTTAGATATCCACCGACGCAGTCTAATTCTGATAACACTGCCTAATACCTCCGTCCCTAGGGACCTCATCAAGAGCAGGAGTCTGATAGAACAGACCCCCCGATAAATATTTAAAGCCTGCACAGTTAGCATTCTTGACAGTAAAAATTATCCCAGTCCCATACACAGACCATAGCAATGAATACATTCCATCTTTTACAAGTACCTGGGTATGTATTAGGTGAAGGGGACAGAGCGGCACCACAGCTTAAGTGGGACGGAAAGGGAATTAGAGGCAATGAAAATACACTAAGACATGAAAGAAGGAGACACCTAGCCCCAAGTAAGGGTATCTGGGAAGACTTCCTGTAGGCAGAGGAACAACACATACAAGGCCTGGAAGTGATAAAAAGCACACTGTGCACAGGAATTAAAACGTCGTTTTGCTAAAGCAGCCAGTTCTAGCAGGAATGTGATGCGTTTGGATTGTATCCCCCAGATCCTATGAAAACCATTACAGCGTCCTGAGGAGGAGGAGGTGGTCTTACACACCGTGGCCGCGAGGCAGATTCTGGTGTCGGACGACCTGGGTATGCACTCCATCTGTCATTTGCTGCCTGCGTCCCTGAAAAAGCTACTTAAGATGGGGCCAAAATTTGGTATTTATCTCACAGAGTATTTGGAGATTTAACTGAGTTAATGAAGGCACCGTTACTTAGAAAATCACACATTAGTTGTCAGTATCATTGTCATCACCAACACAATCAACACCCACAGAGCGATCCTGAAGTGACCGGTGAGCCGAAAGCCCGTGAAGAACAAAACAAGCCCTGGACGATGGCTCAGTTGGTTGGAGCGTCGCCCCGTACACCAAAAGGCTGTGGGTTCAATTCCTGGTCAGTGCACCTACCTGGGTTGCAGGTACCATCCTTGGCTGGGGCATGTATGGGAGGCAATTAATCGATGTTTCTCTCTCACATGGATGTCTCTCTCTCTCAAATCAATAAAAACGGATCTTCGGAGGGGGATAAAAATACCCACCCACAACAACAACGAAAAACAAACCCTAAAATGAAAGAGCAACAACTGCTCTTATGTGGCTTCTGTTCCCCTGTCCATATCCTGTCACCGTGGGACAAGGCCTGGGGAGCTTGGAACCAAGAGAGACCAGATGGGAGTCACGGAGCGCGTGCTCTCGGGGACTCGGGTGTAATCACTGAATCACCTGCCAGTCGAAGGAGAGAAAAGCAGCCCCAAGAACGGTGCCTGTGCCCAGAATCCCCTGCCTGCGTGCCCAGACCTTTAGGCATGGCCAACAGGGAGGGAAACTGAGGAAGCGGGTCCTCCGCTCCTCATCTCATTGCTGCCTTCATGGATGAAGGATCCCGCATCGGCAGGCGGACACTCGGGGCAGCAGGGCCTCCACCTGAAGTCTTGTCCTACCATGAGCTCTGTGGCCTTGGGCAAGTGCCTCAACCTTTCTGAGCCTCAGTTTCCTCACCTGTAAACACGCACAAACAAGCCTCACGGGACTGTTTTAAGGATTAAGTAAGACAAGTTACATAAATGGCTTAGCTGGGAGGCTGGCCCATCCTATAAGCGCATCGTCCCACCATCTTATCCATGATCTGTAAGGCACAGGGTCTGACCAGGTCAAGACAGGGGACATCCGTTCAGCCTCTCGTGCTGTTTGTAGTCACCCCTACCTCTGCATTCACCCATTAAAACACCCTCCTGTTTAATGAACCTCATTCATTTCAAAGAGAATCTCAGGACACAGCTACCTCCCAGCATCAAAAGGCTTCCCCTCAGCTACTTCCTGAACCTCCCAAGACTCCAGGCTCCTCAGAATCCTGAGCTCGTTCTCAAATGAGCTGCAATGGATCGCTGCCTCTGCCAACCCCGGCATCGCTCAGTCCTCATCCCTGGCAGGCTCCTGGCGGCGGGATGGCGCATGTGTTCCCATTTGCTCTCTGACTGCCAGCGACCAGCTGTGACTCGGAACTGTTCCCCATCTCTTCTCCTTTCTGTCCCCATCCCAGGTGTCAGGAACACGGCTTCGGAAGACGGATCACAAGCAGGTTAAGGTCAAGGTGTGAGAAAGGCGTTCTGAGGTCTGTTTTGATTCTGGGATCCTAAAGGAGCATGAGGCCCAATCCTCGGCCCTTCCTGGAGGAGCCCGTCTGGCTGTCTGCTCCTTTTACTCTGTGTTTCCCTCAAAGTCTATCAAAACACACAAAGCACTTTACAGCCAGTGCACCCCGCCCAGTGAGCTGGGTGACACCGAGGCTGCAGCTGGAGAAGATGAAATAAGAAACTAGACATTTAAAATCAACGGGAATGGCTAGCTTGGGTCTGTGGTTCTTGCAGGAAAAGACACAGGCTCCAGCACCATCCCTTTCGCTACATCATGTGGCGTTTGCAGGTGAGAAGACACACACACCTGAGACTCTCAACCTGCTGGAACCAGGTGCCAAGGACATTAGCACCTGGGCTGATCCATCCCTTTCTCTTACATTAACAGACTGACCCTAAACTTTCTTATTTCTAACCAGCAAGAAAGCAACACTCACACTCAAAAGAGAGGACATCAAGCAGCAGCATCGGCATGTGATCATCTTGATAAGACAAATTCCCCCCAAGCTGCCCCCCACCCCCCACACTTCCTCATCCCCCTGATGCTTCGCTTCCTTGGTTTTCACAGCTTCTAAAATTAACCTGAGCTCCTGCTGCTGCCCTTGGAGGGCAGCCCTGGCAAACGCTGCCCGAGGCCACAAGCGGAGCAGCCAGGTGATCAACAGTCCTCCCTTTTCCTGAAGTCCACTTGGAAGGAAGGATGCTGGGAGGCGCCTGCAAGGGGAGCTGACTTCCTGGTTGTCTCTCTTCCCCGATGCCCAGTGGGTCTGGTATGTTCCCGGTTCCAGGCAGGGAGCGGGATGCACCAGCTTTGCTGTTGTGTTTATTCTCTGGACTTCCTCTCTGGGAACATTCCCACCAGGGATTAGGTAAGTCTTTGAAGATGAGTAATAGTGATCTGACTCCTGGCTTCAAACAGTTCCCCGAGTGGGGTTCCAGATGACTCACAGGGCTTGCCAAGGGGATAGCCACGCCGGGGCTTAGCAGACTCTAGAACAGGGGTGGGCAAACTTTTTGACTCGAGGGCCACAATGGGTTCTTAAACTGGACTGGAGGGCCGGAACAAAAGCATGGATGGAGTGTTTGTGTGAACTAATATAAAATCAAAGTAAACATCATTACATAAAAGGGTACGGTCTTTTTTTCCCCAATAGTTTTATTCATTTCAAACGGGCCGGATCCAGCCTGCGGGCCGTAGTTTGCCCACGGCTGCTCTAAAAGCTGGAATTAGTCCACAGGGCCATTTTGGGGTGGGGTTGGGGCTAGGGTTGGATGGGTTTGACTAGAAGCATAACCCAGAGTGGAGGAGATTGTGCTGCAGCAATGTTCTGCCCTGATGTTTGGGGAAGGCGAGTCCTATTGAATGTCCTACCCAGCATGGGAGACCCGGTGGCATCTTTAAAGAATGTTCCCCAGGCTGCAAACTGGCAATGTTTGAAAAAGACAATGTCACTGCTGGTGCTGCTGGTGGGAATGGCCCACTACGCAATGTTGGAGCCTGAGGTTTTAACGAGAGGCATGGCTGTCTCTTTGGAAGTGAAGCACCCGCTGCACTGAGAGGCCAAGGGACCCACAGGGAGTCCAGCACAAGTGATGCCCGGTGCGCGGAGCTAACCGGGGGCAGCGAGGGAATCCCCAAGGATCAAGGGTCTTGCTGACTGGGGCTCTCACCAGCTTCTTGAATCATTTTCTTTCTCTGACCTACTCAGCTCAGATGCTGGACCGTGGCCAGTCTGCCAGCCCCGAGCTGGCTTTGCAGATGCCGAGCAAGGGCAGGATGAGAGGAAACGCTCTAAGTGGCTGCTGTCTGGTGACCTGAGGGCAGAAGCTACGAAGGGCAATGAGAAAGGGAAAGCCTTTCAGGCCGCCCAGGCGAGCCTCACACGGCTGGGAGTGACAGCAGCAGACAGACCAGGTTGGTGGCCCCGTTCGCACAGGAGCATCGGACAGCTAGGAGGTGAAAAGAAAAAGCTATAAATAGTGGCACATGAGGAGGCTCCATAAACAGAGCCGGGCCCAGCCAGCCCGAGGAGACTGCAGGCAGGTGGTGTGCAGGCAGGAGCCCGCACTCCCTCACGTGGGCAGTGGCAGGACCTGAGGCTGGATGATGCACACATACAATCACATGGCAACACATGCACACACCCACACGGTGACACGCACACACACCACGAGGCGGGCTGCCCGCACTCCAGCAGGCTGGCCCGTTCTGCCAAGGAATCCCTTCTTGCTTTTTCTAGGCCTTGGGCACAGCTGGCTGGGCAGGGGACGGAGGTGTCATCATGTTGTGTCTCTAACGCTTCTCCCTCTGGGAGGCAGGGTGCTGTCTCACGTCCCAGGTAAGAAACATTATGCGACGTAACATGAACAGAAAGAGAGGCAAAGGAAGAGTGAGGCGGAGAAGAGCTACCTGAGCAGATGTGGAGACACGGACACCTGTGACTGTGGGTACAGGAGGCGCAGGAGCGGCCAGCCTGGCTCCCCAGTGCACGGAGCAGACACTCAAGGCTCCAATCTCTGGGGCTTCACAGCCCATTCACACTGCTCTACCCTGACCTCCAGGGGACGCTACGGGGCTTGGGGCCAGAGGGGAAGGTGAGTACACAGCTGGGGGCCCCACCCTCTGCCTTTATATTATTCCTCTGCTGCTCCTTCTACGGCTCCTGTGGGCATCGTGGCTCCTCCTTCCGGGACGTGGAGCCCCCGTGGGGTGTGAGGCCTTCATGAAGGTGTGCTGGGCGACTCACAGTGTTAACAGGCAGGAAAACCTTCTGAAAATGAGCTGACAGCCTCAACACATGGACGCCGAGCTTTGAAAACTCAAATTCAGCATTTCAAGGTAAACGAGGCTATGGATACCTTGAAAAAAAAAATAACTATTTACAGTTTGAGTGTTGTAGTGAAAGAGAGGGGACAAGTTCATTTAGTCATGAAAACATTAAAAGCCATTCACTTGTCAACTAATAAAAAAAGGAACCGTTTTCCTGCTCTTCCTGTGGTCAGGAACCCGACGATGGGACCTGAGGGAAGCTTCCGAGGACCCGCCGATGGCCAATCCGCGCCTTTTCCCTAACTTCATTCCTCCAGTTCGTCAAACGTATTTGCTTAAAACCAACGACCGGTGGCCGGATGCTAAGGAAGATGCCGGAATCTCACAGCTCCGAGGAAGTCAGTATGTGTCCCCCATGATGAGTTATGTGACTTGATTTTAGAAACCATTTCAGACTGTAACTTGGTTACAACGTGGTCTGTGCTCTTTCTGCAACGTCATCTGAGAATGGTGGTGTTTTGTGTTAATATTCTCCATTGTTGAAAAACCACACTACAGGTCAGCTGCCAGGTACACATTCCCTGGGCAGCGTGTCTGCTGCTCGGAGGAGTGGGCAGCCTGGCGTTTCCATCGCTAACAATCCGAGCTGAGCCAAGAGAGACTGAGAATTCTGTGCCTTTAGCAGCCGGGAAGGGCAGCCCCGGATGGAGGGACAAGTCCCTCCTGACAAAGCTGGGCTATGTATTTTGGATCTTTTTTAAAAACAGGAACAAGTGAGAAAGGATGGAATCAAACTTCCTCAGGCTGGTGGCCGGCTGTGAACAGTGCAGGGCCGGGAACCCCATATCGGCACGCTAGTAACAGAGGCAGCCTGCTGGAGTCCGAGGCTGGAGGCTTTTCTGTGGGAAGCATCACTGACTCCCAAAGTGGGGGAGTCCCTTTGCTCAGGAGGCCACGCAATCCTTCGAGAGCCAGAGCCCAACAGAGGTGTGGGCCCGGCCATAAGAACGAGCTGGGTGGGCACCAGCTCCTGGTGTCCTGGCCGAGTCTATCACGCTGTCATCTCCACGCCTGCGCATCTCAACAGGAGGCTGCAGCGCAGCAACGTCCTGCCGACGAGCTGAGCAGACCCTGGCAGACGAGCTGGCTGTCCGCTCAGCAGGTTTCTGGCTGGGGGTGGAACGTGGGCAGAGGAACTCATCTCAAGCCAGAAGGAAGAGGGGGCAGACATCTCCATGCAAGGCCCTTTTCCATCCCTTGGTAAGAAGATCTTTCTAAAACCATGGCAGTCTAGCTCCAGACGTAGGGGGAAAAAAACACAAGGGGGTGGGTAGAAAAGAAGCGCAAAGAAGGAGGAGAGTTGTCTCAAGCCTAATATTGCTCAACGGCCAACAGAAGGTGAGGACAGGAGCTCTGCTGGGCTAATCAGCCCTGCCCTCCTGCCCTTGGCAGCCAGGAAGGCTGGTGCGGATGACCCTGGGGCGCCATGGGGTCCATTTCAAGGCTCGTCCAAGTTCCTGCATGACACCCACCTCAGCCAGACGACCCTCTCCTCTCTCCATCTATACGATGGCAGCCTGCTATTAATGAGATCCCAAAGGGAAGGAGTTTCTAAAAATGGCCACCGCTCAGCGGCAGGACTGCTAAGCTGGCCCCACGTAGCGTCTCCAGCAGAAACCACAAACTCGCAGGAGCGATCCCTGCAGGCGCAGAGAAGGCCTCTCCGCTGGGACTCATTACAGGGCCTGCTTCCCTTCCCCCAAGCCCGAAGCTCTGAAATTAGACGAGAACTTTGCCATCGTGGAGACACACCTAAGCCTCCATTCACACATATGCACGGCCACGTGTTCGTATGCATATATGTGTCATCGCGCACGAAGGTCGTCTTAAAGTGATTCTGCAGGGAGGTTCTACTTGAGCATTAGTTCTCCCTATGGCCTGGTATGTAAATGAGAAGGTTAAGTTCACAAACTATGTGCTGAAGGCTATAGAAATAGCTACTCACAACCTGCTTGTATCTCAGGGGGAGTATTCAAAAGCATCATGGCACTGGCAGCATCAATGTCAGGATCTGGAAAAGTCAACCAATAAATAACATTATTTACAACGGGGCTGGTGCGTGTGCGTGGTTTTTCCCCCTGCACGTTAGTTTATGAATGCAACAGAGAAAAAAAAAAAGCCCCGAAACTTGATGAGCTAGATCCCCAAGGTGACTTTCTTCCCACTTGGATTTGAGAGGGAGAAAGGTATTCTAGAAAGAGATGTAAGGGGCAGGTTCTTATGTTTTTAAAACAGAGCATGGTCTCTCTTCTCATTTTGCTAGTTTCATGATTTGCACTGTAAGTTCCTGGTAACGGGGCTGATCCATGCACCCAGACAGCTTGTTCCCTGGGTGCAGGCGCAGGAGACTGGGGCGACAATAGGAAGTTCGGCCACAGGCATCTCGAATGAACTGGGGAAGCTCACAGCACCAGGAAGAGAAAGCATTTCATACACCTGCATCTAGTGCGGTACACACAAGACGGCTGGCCATTTCCATTTGTCAGCAGAACCTAAGTTGCATTTTATGAGATTGTGTGTGTGTGTGTGTGTGTGTGTACAGCAGTGGTGAAGGCCTTAAAAACACACATGCTTAAAACATATATATAAAAAAAAATCAAAGTTATGATGTTGAGAGCACAATGTTTGCTCCCACATCTATGACTGCTTTTAATATGGGACCAAAAAAAAAAAAATTCCTCATCACTTCATTGCTGTAATTCTTAATAGGTTTCTGAATCCTTACTGATCCACCGGTCGACAGATGGCAGGTTATACAGAGACAGAGAAAAATATTATCCTTTTATAACTAAATTCATTTTCCTCTGAGAAACAGCAGCGCGGCTGCTATGGAAATGAAAGTCACCATGGCAACAGTAAACAACCCCCAAGAATGGTCACTGAATAGGCTGAAAAGAACATCTGCCCTAGCCCAGCGTCCCAGCTGCCCCGGGGCGAGATTCGCTAATAAGTGCGGTGGCACCGAGTGACAGAAGCCGCCGCCGCCTGTGACCTGCCCAAGTAAATGAAGTGTGCAACTGAAGATGACATCAGAATGCCTGTCCTTGCAGAGCGCTACCTCTGATTCCGCGAAACCCAATGATGAACGGTGGGGGGAGAGTGGGGATTGCACCTGTCAGTTTTTGTACAAATTACACACCAAAAAATTCAATTTACTACTAATGGCTCCATGGCACTTTATTTGGGGTATTATGCTAGAAAATGACTTTTTTACTGTTTAAAAACTACATTTTTCATATTTTATAGGGGCAGTTTAATTCCAAGGGAGCAATGGGAAGCAGCAGAAAGCCCCACAAGTGATTAATAATATAGATGACGCTGGTTCCAGAAGACAATGTCTCAAAAGGAAAAAAAACTACAGGAGCTTTTACTCTGCAAGCCCTTTTCTATTTTGCCTGCAGGAGACCCGTTACTTAAACTCCATAATGGAGTAAAAGTTTATTTTAATAGGTACATTGCATGAGAAACAGGTAAATTAACTTGTTTAGCAATTCCTGGGACGAAATTCTTAAAACAGTCATGGCTCCCACTGATATTGAAATATATGTCAGTTGAAGGATGAACTGAAAAACTGAACAGTTCCACTCACGGCTCCCAGGGTTCCCGCTGCCCCGCCCTCTCGATTTCTGACAGGGCCTGTTGCCAAGATGCAGAATTTGCAGTTTCGGGGTATTGCTGGCACCTCGCAAGCCTCAGGGGAGCAAGCAGCCCACAGGAGATGCCGTGGGGGCTGACGCTTCCCCTTCCTGCCCCCTCTTTTTGGAAAGGGCCCTTGCTTATCTCAGGGCTGAGAAAACAGGCCTGTTTGTCTTCAGCAAGGTAGGCTCTTTGCCATCTTTGAGAATGCAAGTGCCGCCGCAACCCAAGGCAGGCCTGGCCCTGTGTCCCCGTCTCTCCGTCTCCCCAGGTGACTCTTACCCGGAGTTTTCCTGAACCACCAGGAGGTTCAGAGGGGGCAGAACAAGAGAAAACACAGGTAAGGAGTCAGGATCTATATTCTTCCACCGTCACAGTGGACCTCAGGAGGGAGGTGTAAAAGGCATAATGAAATAAATGAGAAAGAAGGAAGAGAAAGAGGCCTTAAACAAAAACAATATGATGAACACACCCATGAATTTCGCAGAACCTAAGGGATAACTTGAGGAGTATTGTAGACCCACGTAACATCCACCCATGACCCCACCCAAGCCAAATGAACACAAATGACGCTAAGCAAAAACAACGCTTTAGGACAAGTCCCCCAATCCTTCCTTCCACCCAGATTTGCCACCCCCTTGGCCGCCACAGATAAAACCCCTGATGCTACCTCAGCACTCCTGCTGGTCTGCGAGCATTTGGGGGTAGGCCCATTACCCAGTCTTCTCAGGAGCTCATTCATAATCCATTTCCACAGCCCCACTTCTCCATCCTGAGTGGGTCAATTCCAGGGGGGACATAAGCTTTAATATGAAATGCTATGCACAGAATGGAATGGCAGGCAAGGCACGGGATGCCCAGCCCCCCAACACAGATTGGCAAACATGAGAACTGCACGTGGTCTGAGAAAACATGCTTATGTATTTACACAAGTGTGTGTACACTGGCACCACAGTGGCAGCAGTGATGCCAGCCTTGGTGTATAGCTTATTGAGTTCTGACCAATTTCTCTCCAGTGTTAGCACGACCTTAATGAAGACACAGAGCACAACGAAGAGACAGATTTCCATCACCCCAAAGTTCCCTGAGCCCCTCTGCAGTCATCCCTACCCTTGCCCCGGGCAACTGCTAGATTGGCGTTGTTATTCATCCATGATGTGGTACCGGGGGTTCATTCCTTATCGCTGCTATTACTGAGTGGCATTCCATGTGTGGCTATGCTCCAATTTCTTTATCTGTCCACCTGCAGGTGGACATTTGTATTGCTTCCAGTTTGGGATTAAAAAAAAAAAGCTGCTATGAACTTTTGTACCAATCGTTTATGAACACATGTTTTCATTTCCCTTGCGTAATTGCTGGTAAGTCAATGTTTAACTTTCTAGGGCAGTGATTTTCAACCTGAGGGCCGCAGAATTTTTAAAACATGCAATACCAGACTATTTAGGCAGGGGCACTGACCTCTTTTCCCTTAGATTGTCAAATAAAAAACATGACAACAGCCAACACAACAAAAGCTGTCCGGTGTGAATGCCCTGTCTTGAACCATAAATATATAGGTCACATAATAGAGTAGCATCTTACTGGGCACATCGGATAATAAAGTTGCATCTGATGGTTTAATTCTTGGAACCAGAAGTCCTTATATACAAGTACTAGAGGCCCGGTGCATGAAATTAAGGCATGGGTAGGGGGTCCCTAGGCCTGGTTGGAGATCGGGTGGTGCCGCCCGCTCCCGGGCCCCAGCTTGGTCAATTTGCATATTAGGCTTTTATTTTATAGGACAGGCACCTGATTTTTAAAAAAGTCACTTTGGAGCAAAAAGAGTTGGTAACTATCATCTTTTTAAAAGTAAATCAATCAAAGTTATACCTAATTTTGTCTACTTGGCAAAAAATATATTTTTTGAGTGTGATGCAGAATTTTAGTAATTAGTTTATGTGAGCCCTGGGATGAAAAAGGTTGAAAATCACTGTTCTAGGGACTGACAGACTTTCTCCTAAGAGGCACCATGTGTGAGAGTTCCAATTGCTCCACATTTTTGTCATCAGATGAAATTGCCAATATTTTTAATTTTAGCCCTTCTCGTAGATGTGTAGTGGTATTTCATTGTGGTTTTAACTCATATCTCCCTAATGACAAAAAGGGGTTTTGAGCACCCTCTCATGTATTTAGTGGTCATTTGTGTATCTTCTTTTGAGAAAGGCCTGCTCAAGTCTGTGCCCATTCTTTAAACTGAACTGTTCAACGTCTCACTATTAGAAGGCCTCTTTGAAACTTCCAGATAGAAGTCCTTTGTGAGGTAGTTTTTCTCAGTCCATGTCTTGTGTATTCAGTTTCTTATTAGTGCCCTTTAAGAAGCAGAAGTTTTAAATTACTATGAAGTCCAATTTGTCAATTTTTTATATGTCCCAATTAAGAAATCTTGGCTTACTCCCCAGTTACAGTATTTTATTCTGTTAGGATGTCAAACATAATGTCATCTGGGTTCAACACCCAGATTTATAGGCAAATGAAACAGGAAGTAACCCACCAGATTCCTGCCTTTACCCAGTGAAAACTGGCTAAGCACAGAACTGTCAGAACTGTGCAGACCAACACCAGAGGATCCCTTCTGGCTGCAGGTACGGTGGGAGACACCAGGCAAGCCAAGAGAAGCTAGTCAGGCCCGTTTCTACGGGGAAAAATGTCTCAGACCACCTGACGCATTTATGCTGGTCACACCCGCACATCCTGTGTGCGTGCTTCGGACCAACAACCTCCCGTCTCTCCTCTCCAAAGACAGGCTACAAGGCTTAGTCTTATCTATTATTAAAATGCCTTAAGTTTTTTCCCTTTTTAAAGAGAGTCCTGAAAGTAGTGTGTGCTCACTGTAAAACACACACACGGGGTGGAATTAACTGAAAAATAAATGCCTTCCTCACAGACCCACTCCCAGATTCATTCTCTGTATGTATGTCCAGAAACTGTCTATATAAATATAGGCGTTTACATATATCCACTGAAATACCAACTCACATATTCACATGCATCCTTGTGTCCAATCCTTAAAAGTGGGTTCCTGGGGAAAATACTTTTCTAAAAAGAACTTTTTCCTCCTATTTTTCATGAACGACATATCTTGCACCTTTTCATATTAGCATACATGATCTGAAGTTCTCCCGTGGTGACTTTTTGTGCATGGAAACATAACCATTCTCTTTCTTTAAGACGGCAGACTACGGGAAGGTGGAAACGGCGCTTGTAACCTGTAACCTGCTTCTCCTCTCAGATCTCGAGCCCCTACCCACCTCCCCTACCTCCAAGGACCCAGCATGGCCCCACGCTCTCCCTCTGCGCCCTTTCTGAGGTCAGCCCACTGGCTGCTTTGGGTCACAT